TACTTGCTAAATGCCAACCAATCATGTAACTGCTAAGCTGGAATTCCCTGAACCTTGCTGTAACCACAATAAAAACCCTACTGATTGGGGATTGGAGGCTCTCAATCCTGATCCACTGCATCGGTGACGGTTGCGAGCCCCTGCTCGAGCTTGAATAAACGACCCTCGTGTGTTTGCATCGGAATCGGCTCCTTGGTGGTCTTTGGGGACTTCGTGACTTGGGCACAACATTTGGGGGCTCGTCCGGGATCCCCAAGACCCCCAGGACCCCCGTACTGGAGGGTTAACACCAGCCGGTGAGTGTCTCTGTGTCTGTGAAGTTGTCTGTGTAAAAGTCTGAGGCCCATTTTCTGAGCAGGTCGGCAAACGATCTAGGCGGACGCGCTGAAGGGCCACCGACCCAGGGTCCTGGAAGATGTTCCAGACCCCTCTGGAGGGGACGGAGTGCCCCGTGAGATTCTGTGACTTCTGGAAGGGACGATGTGGGTCTCTCCCGCAGCACGGTGTGAGGCCGTCGTTCTACTTTCGGTTTCACCCCCGATCAAGCGGAGGGCTGTTCTGTCTTAGTTTCTGTCTGTCTGTTGTGTTTAGTTGTCTGTCTGTCGTGTATTATTGTCTTTTGACCTGGACTGAGACGATGGGACAGACTGTGACCACTCCTCTGACTCTCATGATGGAACATTTTAAGGAAGTCAGGGAGCGCGCTCATAACCTAAGCTTAGAAGTTAAGAAGACTAAACTCATCATCCTCTGTCTCTCAGAGTGGCCCACCTTCGGGGTAGGATGGCCACCCAAGGGGACCTTTGATTTAGGGACCACAAGGAGAGTCCAAGAAGCTATCTTTCGTCCTCATTCGGGACACCCTGACCAGGTTCCTTACATTTTCACCTGGAAAAATCTAATTTACAACCCTCCTACCTGGGTCAAGCCCTTTTTGGCTCCACAGAAACGACAACCTGATGTAGTCCTGGCAACCTGTGAAATGACTCCTAGAGAATGCGGCGGAAAAAGGCAAACTGAAACTAAGCTGACCACGCCACTCTACCTGGTCCTCCAAGAGGGAACCGAGGAAGACCTCATTTTTCCCCCTCCCTACCAACCTACCCCTGTTCCCCCACAGTACCAGGGGGAGACCGGAGGTGAAGGACTGGCGCAGGTCGAGGCTGAGGGAGGGCCACTGACTCCAGCCAGCACCGGTGGAGGCAGCCCCACTCAGAACACCTGACATCGACACACAGCCTCGCCGGCAGAGCCGGCGGACTCCACTGTTCTCCCGCTGAGGGCAGCAGGGCCCCCTGATGAGCATGGCAATCAGCCTCATTACTATTGGCCCTTCGCCACCAGTGATCTTTATAACTGGCATACCCAGCACACCAAGTTTTCAGACAACCCCAGAGATCTGATTAACCTTTTAGAAACTGTTTTGTTTACCCATCAGCCCACTTGGGATGATTGTCAGCAACTCCTCCAGGTTCTATTCACTACAGAGGAGCGGGAGAGGATCCAAAATGAGGCCAGAAAATTGGTTCCTGGTGACAATGGTCAACCCACCACCAATGTCGACACCATTAGCCTGTCTTTTCCTTTGTCCCAACCCGACTGGGACTTCAACACAGCAGAAGGTAAGGAGAGGCTCCGGATCTATTGCCAGACTCTGTTGGGAGGTCTCAAAGCAGCTGCCCGGAAACCCACCAATTTGGCCAAGGTAGGGGATGTGCAGCAGGGGCCAGACGAAAGCCCTGCAGCCTTCCTAGAGAGAATTCAGGAAGCCTTCCTTAGGTGTACTCCTATGGATCCGGAAGTAACCCAGACAAAGGCAACTGTAATAATGCACTTTGTCAACCAGGCGGCGCCAGATATTAGAAGGAAATTACAGAAAATAGACAGGCTGGGAGAGAAAAACATTCAGGATTTAGTGGCAGTAGCCAAGAGAGTTTACAATAATAGAGAGACTGCAGAGGAAAAACAGGCAAAGGCTGACAACCGCCAGACCCAAAACTTAGCTCGGATTCTCTTGGCCACCACTGCGGGAGAACCGAAGGAACGTGAATGTCGACTGAGAAAGATTGCGGCAGAAGGACAAGGTAAGGGGGAATGCAGGGAACGCCCCCGGTTGGGAAAGAATCCATGTGCTTACTGTAAAGAGGAGGGCCACTGGGCTAAGGAATGCCCCAAAAAGCAGCAGGGAGGCTGCCCAAAGGCCCCCATCCTGGCTATGGATGAGATGAGTGACTAGAGGGGATGGGGTTTGGCACCCCTCCCCGAGCCCAGGGTAACCCTTAAAGTGGAGGGGAAACCCGTTGAGTTCCTGGTAGATATGGGAGCTCAACATTCAGTTCTGCTTGAACCACATGGCCATATATCTGACAAAACTTCCTGGGTCCAAGGAGCCACAGGCATGAAAAAGTATTCATGGACTACCCGAAGAGCAGTGGATTTGGGAGTGGGTCGGGTATCCCACTCATTTATGGTCATTCCTGATTGTCCTTACCCTTTGCTGGGGAGAGACTTGCTTACTAAACTAGGAGCTCAGATTCATTTCCAAC